AAATTTGTGGACCCACATTAAAATAATATATTTTATTTACTATTTTTAATAACAATAATTATAATTTGTAATAGATATTATAATAATAAATAATTAGTAATTAATTTATTTAATGAATAAATGTTAAAATAAAAACGATAAAATTGTAATTAATAAATTTTATATTTAAAAAGCTTACATTAGTTCAAATAACACAAATTAATGTATTTCAGTTTAAGGAAGCTTTAGTCAGTTTATGCCTAGCGGAGACGATTAGACCCTTTAATTTATGTATTTCAGTTTTTAAAATTTTCATTAATAAAATACGTTTACATTTATCCGGTATCATATTTGTGTTATTAATAATTATATATATATATATATATATATATATTTAAATAATAAATATAAAAACCTAAAACTTAATATTTATAATTATTTATTTATTTATAATTTATTTAAAAAAATATTTGAGAAAAGTGGGTGGGAACCACCCATTTGGCATAAATGCCAGTTATCATCTTCACGGCAAATTTGCCGTTCTTCTTCACCCACCAAGAACCCACCGGCAAAGATATAGTGTTTTTGGTGGTCGGTTGGAAAGGAATCACCAGCAAAATTGAAGTTTTGCTGGATGGTTGGAGTTGCCCTAACAAGATGCAGAAAAGTACCAAAAAAAGGGTAAGCATCCTTTTGTTTCCACTGGTTTCTTGAGCAAGGCACCAAATACGCACAGATAATAGCACAAAAATGATAGAAATCTCACCAGTTTGAAGAATCTATAACCTTCACTTGGTTCTGTAATCGTCAATCGCACACCATTACATCTCATTAGTAGTTAAAGAAGTATACAAATGCAACCAAAAAAAATGTGATTCTCCAAAAATGCACCTTGGATTCGTAACGATKAGGCCATTTTGCTCTAGCTTGATCAGCTGGAACTGGCTTTTCGATAAATCGGACGTCATCATCAGCTGCGGCGATGGCAGGAAAGGTCTTGGATTTCTTTGATGGAGGCGATGATTTTGAATCACATTCTGCTTACAGCCTTACTACCTACTGCCCACTTTTATTAAAATCAAAATCTCAAACTTAATTGCAAAAATCATAATCTTTTAAAATAATTTAGTGCATTTATAATAACCTGTTAAATCAAGATGAAATCAACATGAATCAGTCATGAAAACCTATTATGTAAATACTTCGTTCATTAGTGTGGTTTAAAAACCCTAACCTCTCCTTTGATGCTGGTTCATCTTGTACAATCGGGTCTTTCATCACCTGAGGTATAGCGATTGAGAAATCAAAAAAATTACATGAGATGGAGCAATGGAGAAATCGAAAACAATTTAGCTGAGATGGAGCAATGGAGATGAAAGCAACAAGTTAAAATCAAAACCTAATTTGTGAGACGAAGCAATGAAGATGAACCCTAATCTGTGAATCCAAATTTAAAGCAAAATCAAATCAAAATCAAATCCAAACTCTAGTTGATGAATCCTTTGCAATCACGATTTACAACTCTAATATGAGTGAACAACAAAAGAAGAAATCAAACATGTTGTTGTTTAGCACGATGAAATCGAACTC